ATGGCAGATGGTCAGTTGTCTGATTTGTATAAAAATGGATCAACAAACTGATTTGTATTTTTTTAACAGTGGTTTTGTCTTGTCATAATTACAGCAAAATAATTGTAAATTTTAATGATTTTGTACAGTGTAGATAGAACTGGAGAAAAATTATAGAAGACAGAAGGCCAACAGATTGTGTCGTTACACTGTGAGAGGAAGAAACTAACAAGGTTCAGGTCTGGGCTTTACTGGAATTCGCTAATCAATTAATTATTGGACTCATTAATTGAAGACTTTCAACTAATCGATTATTCTCACAGGAGTCTTGGATCGTTGGAATAATTGAAAAACTAATTTTGATTAGCTGATTATTTTCCCGAGTCATGGAACTAATTAAGTAAACTGAACAACCATGAATTAACTCTTTCTGTACAATCAGGTTAAAGTGTGCTTGTCATGACTATTTACAGTGTTACCTTTTATTATTGATTTTCAATAAACTCTGCAGGAAAACATAATTTATTATTCAATTTTTTATATTATCCAAGTTTTAACTTCTTAATTTCAAAAAGAAATATTTTAAAAAACCCCAGTTTATGTAACATGATGCATCTGATCTCAGATTTCTCCACTTCAGAATTTTCTAACTTCTGAAATAGGCTGTTGCAATTTTCCTCCAAATAGAAACTTGAACAAAACATAATTGCAAGCAAAAATATAAAATTTGAATGACCATCCTTCTTAATTTGCTGAGATATCAATAAATTTGTCAAAACCATTGGAACAGCCTCTTCCCCTCTCTTTTTTTTAAGATTGTTTGCTGATCAACATAATATGACTAATGGATATGGTTAAAATCAATAGAAAGAGTAAATTCTCTTCTACAATTTGGATTTCAGTTTTGTCATCATAAGCTGTTAGTTGACAAGAGTTGCTTGGTTTTTATTGATCAGATTTGGTTCTCCAAACATTAACAGAATTTTAATCTGTTTATATCTTATTTAAAAAACTGGATAAATTACAGTAGTTTTGGGACATTCTATTCTTGTGACTGGTACATTTTTTTCTATTATAAAATGCATATTTGAAAGCTACAGTAGTTTCTTCTTGTACACCCTATTTTCTGACACTCAAGGCTTAGAGGAGAATGTTAAAAATTTTTATTGAGTGCAAATTGGCTCTTTATATGCTGAGTGCCACAACACTTTACTTTTTAATGTACTTTTTTATTTATTGCTAGCTACTTTACAACAAGAGTAACTAAAGTTTAAAAATTATAAATTTCTCAGCATAGCCTAGCAAACCTTGAGTTAAATAAAACCTCTAGAATTTCACTAGCTCTAGCATGTTATGAAACACAACACTGGGATCATGTGATGTTTATATTAGCCCCAAGGTAAATTGCTAATGGGCCCTTACTGTGTGATTTATTACTTTTGACATGAAGATTACTGCTCCAGTAGATACTAAGTACAGCAATAAAACCATAAAATTAAAACAAATGTGAAAAGGTTAACAATTTAAACTTTTAAGAAAAGTAATTTAGAAATTTCTGGTTAATACTGTTGTTTATGTAGAGGAAACATTTAGCTTTTTTGACAAAATTCAAGAACAATTTGTGATAAATGGGTATTTTTTTTTAATAAAGTGAAAGTGTCATACTGGCTCCTTGTTCATGGTATTTAGTAAAATTCTAGGAGGTGGACAGATAATTAGTTTTATAAACAGAATTCATGAAAGTTGTGATAAATGGGTATTTTTGAATTGGGTGAATGTATCTGAGGGGTTTCTTGGAAGATTTATGAACACTTTTTTTTTTTTTGTTATTTTCTCAGCAGTTTAAACAACTTTATTGGCATTTACATTATTAAATTAATTGATGGCATAAAATGCTGCAAGATATATTAAGATGTATTATTACTTGTTGAACATTTCCTAGTTTAAAGAGGAACTCTGGAGTTGGCACAACAACAATTAAAAACTTTAAATGGATGTTAAAACCTCAATTAATGGTGTTTAAAAATAGTTTAACAAAATTCTTTAATTAATTGTTCAAATTTTACCTTCACATAATGGTGGATTATGGATACCACCATTTGCATTCATCCTCTGTTGCGATGTAGAAGTGTGCTGAAATGCACACACACACATATGATTGATATAATGAGATACACTCTGTGCTCATGCACTTTAATATTTGTTGCAGAATCCTATGACTAGAGGAGGTATGAATATTCAAAACTCTGCAGAGAAATTTAGAAAATGTGTGGAGTATTTTCTTTGTTTAATATTTACAGTAATAATGGCTTATTATAAAAATGTAAATAAAGTAGACCTAACTGTTAGAAAGAATTTATTGTAAAATTCTTTCAGTTTAATATACCAAGCATTTTGTCAGTAAAATCAAAACAAAAATACAGAATTGCAGTTTATCTGTACATTACGAATTGTTTTCTTTAATTATGTAACATACAATAGACATTAAAGTACAGTAGTTTAATTTACAAATTGTTAAGAGTTCCTTTCTTGTATTTTTGTTTTTATCTTTACAAAACCAAACTTGCATCATAACTTATACAAGTGATTTACTACCTGTACTGCTTAGCTCACTGTCTCTGCCATTCACACACATAACTCTCTTGTGGACAAAAAAAATCTGTAGCATAACTGATCAATAGAGTTATATCTTCAACACTAGAGTGCACGCTTGTCATGTGACCCTGTGGTGGCAAGGGGAATTCAGCATCATTACTAAAACAGGCATGTGTCAAACGATTTCTGCTATGCTGCATACAGTTAGCCATCTGAAAATAAAATTGAAATGCCAGAGAGCTGTGTCTGTTACGGCTGTTCAAGTCGATGGAAGAAGGGGAAGGCAGTCTCTTTCCACAAGTGAGTATATTTTTTCACCTGTTTACTGACAGTAAAGGCATTTCAGATAAAAATACAAATGTTTGACAAATTTACTTTATGCCATCACCATGTAACCTAGGAATCTAGGTAATAAAAACAAGGGTAAAAAAGACAAATAAAATTACACAAACAGGTAAAAAAAAGTATTCTGGAAAACAGTAACAGCTAAGCCAATTATTGTAACCATGTAAACCAACTGAGTTAATAATTAAGCTGTTATTAATACAAGCATTTTATACCATTCCTAAAATATAGGACTTTTTTTTCTCCTTTTTTTACCTATTTGTGTAATTTTCTTTGTCTTTTTTTATCCTTGTCTTTATTACTGCCACTGGTAGCCTAGTAGGGGACCCACAAGAGTAAGGTAGTCAGAGATTGAATTAGGAGTTTTTCAGAAGTAGGTAGTGAAAGAAACTTTATTACAAGTACCAATGGTTTCAAGTATCATTTATATAAAACAGTTATCATTTCTTAACCTTGACATTATTAGATCCAACACACAATTCAAATCCAAAATTCACCAAAAACATCACTCACACAGGCCTCTACATCCCCTGCATTTCTGCCCATGAATCCAAACATTCAATTTACTATAAAGCTTTATACACACAGCTTTAAAACTTTGTTCAGCTGACTATGTAGATGAAGAAATAAGGTTTATAAAGCATTCCTTCATTCACACAAACAAACTTCCACCCAAAATTGTCAAACTTTTCCCATGACCACCAGAACAAAAACTTCAAAATACGACTCACAACCAAAATTAACACTGATATACCAAACATCAACACAACATTACACTGCAGTTTACCATTCATCCTTGAAATCAGTTCAAAAATAAATCACACTTGGAGAAAAGTTACCATTGAGCATAGAATTTCTGTCGACTTTAAATTCACTCAAAAACCCAGCCCTAAACTAAAGCTGTTACTATATAAAAATTATGTAGAATCACCCAATACCAACATTTTCCATATATTAATGTGCAATAACTGTCCAGAATTCTACGTCATAGAAACCAGAAGAAAATTGGAAACCAGGTTTCACTGATCATAATAAAAAAACCTCCCACATTTACCATCATTGCGACTCAAAAAAAACACAGTATACCTATACAACACACTAATTTTAAATGAAGAAACGAACATATAATACAGGAAGCTATCTTAATTGAACAAAACATTTACTCTAAACCAACACCCTGGAGTACCAAGATACCTTTACTAAGCTGTTAAACAGTCTCCAGTCATGTGACCTCTTTGTTCCATACTATGTATATATATATTGTGTCTGTGTAAACTGCTATTCCTGATGATGATATAAGCTTGTCAAAATGTTGTACATATATAATAAAGTTTCTTTCACTATCTACTCAAGCTGTCTCCAAACTTTAAGTGGCATCTGACCTGTTATATAGGATCCTAAAGCCTTAATAATAAAGGTTTAATTGATATTAAACAAAATGTTAAAGCTTAAACTGCTCAACATTGTTGACAAGAATCTGTCATTTAAAAGATAATGTTAACTGAAAAGTAACAAACAAAATTGCATAATTTAATAACTGGCATTTGTTATCAGGTTTCCTCTAGACAGTCATGATCTCCTCACAAAATGGTTGGTGAATATCAGTAGAGACAATTTCAAACCTGCTATAAACCACAGGGTGTGTAGTGAGCAGAGGTAAGTATACCGTATACATATAATCATGTTTGTTTGCTAGTGATTTTACAGTTACGAATGTGTCACTTTAATTGTAACATTTCATTTAGAAATTTATTGTTATTTCAGGCATACATCCCAGGGATGATTGCAATGTCATTAAACATGCTCTTCACCATTCTGCTGTGCCCACTGTGTTTTCTTTGCACCTGCCACACAAACAGAAAATGGAGCATTTGTTGAGGAAGAGACAACTGCTACAAAGTAAAGTAGATGGTGGTGGCTCAACAAAAGCTAAACAACCCCATGTTGCTTATGAATCCAGCAAAGGTCACCCAGATCATGATTACTGTGTCAACCCTGGCTCTGTTGTAAACAGACTGAATGCTTCACAGCATAAAATTAAAGATGCACATAACAAACAGAAGGTGAAGAGAAATGATAGAACAATGTCAAACCTTTTACGCACTGTTAAAGAACAGAATCTCACAAATCAGGAACATGCATCAACAGACACTTATGACTTTGAGGTAAGAATTACTTATATGTATTTCATGAGTAAATTTTCAACAGTGAAATTCATGGAAAGGTTTATGACAATTTTACAGTACTGTTGTGCATGTTTCTTGCTTCATTGTCCATTTTAGATGTTGTCTTGGATTCCCCATGACGACATAACATCTTCATTGGCTGAGACTGGAGTGCGAACTCTAGATAAAAATACAACTCCATGAACTGACCTTGCCTGACTACCATACATAAACCATATGTTTTTTATTCTTTATACCTACCTCCACAGTAAACCAGTTTTGATTCTAATCTTGCATATGATACACTCTTTACTCAGTTTTGTTATTTTAGTTTACTCTGCTTCATTTTTTTACTTTTCATTAATCTACCTACCTTTAACAGATTTTGAAGTGGTTTTTCTTACATAAGTGAACATAAGAAAGGCTGTTATTCAGGTATTAATAGTGTATTTGTTCCTATTTTAAACAAAGCCCTAATTTTTTTCGATTTATCTTTATCGTTTTAACGATGAGATCATCAGCATCTTTACGTTTTATCATACAGGCTGTACTGAATTGACAAAACAAATCTTGTTTAAGTTATGTAACAAATAGTACTTCATCTCCTTTCACTACTAGTTCACATCATGTACATGGCTTAATTACTGTTCCTTACAACTTTAAAGGCAGTTACCCTGGCTTGCAAGAAATAAACACGAAAAATGTAGAACCATAATCACCATTGTAAGTAGTTCCCAGGAAAAGAGAGCTGAAATGCGTGAAATGTTACCAAAACCAGGATTTGAGAAATGTGCATTATCTACTACTACTCAGCAGTTTCTGTAAGGGAAACTATAACCTTAAGTTATTAATAATTTTGCAAAAGCCTGTATATTTTGTGATTTCCAAGGATTTCTGTTGTTGCCATATCTAAACTGCCTTTATGTATGACATTCTTGTATAGGCCCCTTTAGTTCACAGTCTTAACGCCTGTCAATAAACATGGCTGAATGTAAGGCATACCATTGTACTAACAACAAGCGCAATAACAAGGGATTACATTTTCACCAAGTCCCTAAACCACCATCAGATCCCAAGAAGAATCGAGAAAAAATGGAAATAACAAAGAAATGGCTACATAACTTAGGAATGGGACACAGAATGAAGACATTTCCTTTTGGTAGAAACAGTGTTGTGTGTGAGAAACATTTCACCCCAGACTGTTTCAAAGTGGATTTGCGAGCTAAGTTTATGGGTACAAAACCTCGACAATACCTTGTAGAAGGGGCAGTACCAACACTTTTCAAGCATCGCCCCCCTCCAGTAGGTGAAGATAGAGAGGAACAACTAGAGACTAGGAGAAATAAAAAGGTATTTTAGACTATTATTATTATCAAATCACTTAACTATATGTAAATAACTGCTTTGTTCAATACTAGCCTTCATTTTATTGCAGTGACCATTAGTGAAAATTAGGAATATGCAAGTTATATTTTGAATTTAAGAAAAGAATAATGTATTTTGTTGTTGCTTTGTGGTAATTAAACGACAATAAACATTTTGCTTCTTTGGTTTTGAGTAAACATTGCTTCTCCTTGCTTGTAAACTCATACACAAAGGAATGGATGAGTAGGCTATCAGCATTTGTACATCACAAACCAGAGCACAACCTACGTGGAACGTGCAACAGTATATAATCGTAAATTTATTATCTCATTATAGTGTTGGTGTTACATAATTACATTCCTTAACCAACACATATAATTAAGCAGAATGATCACAAACACACATTAATGATATATTAGAGGTGAAGTTCTCCTTAGAAATGATAGTGACCTTTGAAGGTTTAGAATTTTGAACACTTCTCTGAACCAAAGAAGAAACAGAGAGTTTTAAATGAAGTAATTAAATTTGTTATGGATTTGGATAATGTCGTATGGTCGGTGGTGTAACAGAAATGATACCTGAGTAATAGGATTAGTAAGTGTGAGAATTCGAATTCTGAACCCAATTTTTATTCTTCAGCAGTTCTTTTTTTGTTAGATTGTGGTAATTTAAATTCATTCAATCTTTTTTGGATAAGGATATACATTGTATTTTAATAAATCAGGGTGGTGAGTCTATCCTGACTAGGACAAATTACCCTTATATTACACTAATGCTATGAAGCTAATGCTCTATCAATTCAACGAAGATGATATCAGCCCTTTTCTCACATGGTTTGTTGCTTTGACTGTTTTTGTTCTTGGTGGGTGAATAGGTTACTTTTAAGGCCTTATCATATGTTGATGACCATAATTTAAAAAAAAATATTTTTAGTAGTTATTTTAAGGATCTTTAGTAAGTATAATAAAAAGTTATAAATGAACTTTTTGACCAAATGGAATATGTTATGTATTTTCGAAGACATGAGGCAAATATAACTTTTAGAACTTTTTTTCTCAAGTACTACTGAGGATATGCTTAGTAATTCAGCTGTGCAAAGCACTTGAATTTGGTACTTGTGTAGAAATCTGTTGTAAACTTGATAGTCATGTCCATGAGCATCTAGGAAAGCTGACTTCCAGAAATTCCAAGAAATTTTGAAAGGGAAACTTCGTATTCCGATAAGGTCCATTATTTCCGCTCACATAAATAGCTATTCTTGTTCAGTGTGCCTGGCATGGCATGGTGGTTAGAGAGCTTGACTCGCAATCTGAGGGTCACAAGTTCAAATCCCCATCCCAACAAATATGCTCGCACCTTTCAGCTGTGGGGGCGTTATAATGTGCCAATCAATCCCACTATATATTGGTAAAAGAGTAGCTCAAGAGTTGGTGGTAGGTGGTGATGACTAGCTGCATTCTGTCTAGTATTTCGCTGCTAAATTAGAGGTGGCTAGCAAAGACAGCCCTCATGTAGCTTTGCTCCAAATTTAAACGAAATCTCGTTCAGTGCTGCACTCTGTGTGAAAAACATTTTTCATGCCACAAGACTTGAGCTCTCACATACCCCACAATTAACTAGTAAGAATGCAGCACACCCTTCTGACACATGTGACTCCCTCTGTTCAATTCTACTGAACTATCACTTCTCGTTTGGCAGTGCTATCTTCAAGACATTTCTTGTTTGTGTTCTCTTCCTGTCATTTTTTGACATTTCATACGAAGTGGAGATATTTTTTTCCTTCTTCACTTTTACAGTTTCAAGTGATAACTTACCTTTATAATTCTTCAAATTTTTTTTTGGATTTCACTGAAGCTTATGTTTCCACTCTGAAAATGTTATCATTTACTTCAAGCACAATTACTGAAGCTTCAGGTGGCAGTACTTGACTGAGGAATTGTCAGCTTTAATACTTTGGGAGATTGATTGTTATATGAGTTGACTTTTGTCAGGCTTCGAATTTGGTGTCCACACATTTGGAATATGGTCTGCCGACTTTGAACATATAAACTGTTATACTGTTATTGCTTTTGGAATAATTTTGTTATTCATATTATTATTATTTGTAGTTCTTTGGCTTCAATAATATATGTTTAGTTACATTTGTACCTACTTCTTGTAAGGTTAGGGTTTTTTGATTAACATTTAGTGATTTCCTTTGTCCTACAACATTGAATTAGGCTTAACATGTGTCTTTGTTGTCTTTTTAGGTTTACCTGTCATTCATCTTACTGGTAAATCGTAAATTAGGTTAAATATATTGTTTCTTCAACAAATACTATCTACTAAAATTTCTATTGTCAATATACACATACTTAATTTTAATATATAATGATTTTTTTCATTTTCATAATTAATTATATTTTATACTTCTTACAATTTATATTGTTTGTGAGGACTCCTGGGTCTGGGGTCTGCCCAACCTTCTCCAAATATTGCTGGCCTTCCTAGACCTTTACTGCGTGGTCTGCTAGGCCTACCTCAGCCCTTTTTATACATGTTTTTCTCCTCCTGTTCCAAACATTTTAGCTCATGCTGTACCTTTATATCTCTCTTTTGACTGCCTCACCCTCCATGGACTTTGGTTCATTTTGCCTTAGCTTACCATTAGGCAGATTGTTTTATGTTTTCTTGCTTCTCTGCACTTCAAATCTCTGTTGCCTGTATGAGGGCAGAATCTGTTAATCCTATCCCTTTCTCCCTAGACAAATTTTCCAGCCTTTGTCTTCCCCTATCACCTCTCATACTGGTATTAACTGTCACACACCTCCTTTCTGAGGTGTTCCACCTATTTCTTGGGGATTTTTGTGGAATAACTTCCTCCTCCTTACCTCCAAGTTGGGCAATTGCCATTTTCAGCTCTTTCTCTACACACATGGCATTTTCGCTTTTGGGATCTACTGGGGTGGGACACTGTCTAGTACCAAGTTCGTTTCCCTTCCACTTCTGATCAGGACTTATGAATGGCTCTTTTCCTTCACTGGTCTCCTTTTTTTTGTTAGGGTGGGGGTGATACTTTTGTGACTTTAGCATCACATGGGGTATTTATGTTGCTACATTCATATTTTTCTTTTTTGGTTGCTCATTTGTCTCATTCTCAGCCATTGCATTCTTTCTTCATTTTCCATGTCTGGCACCTTCCCATCATTTACCTGTCCTACATCTAAGAGTTCCTTCATTAGTCATGTTTTCTTGATGCAGATTGGAATTCTGTGATTGATCTGTCTCATCTCAATCACTTCTTGGTTCTTTCCCTTTTTTACTGTGTTGTCTTTTATCACACTCTGGTGGGTCATTACTTCAGGACTGAGGATGCCCAAGGTTGATGTTTTGTATTCGTATGCCTATGTTCCTATTTTCCATCCCTCGCATCACCAGTTTCATGCCTCGCCTTCAAGTTTGTTTCAGAACTGTATGTCTTCGTCTCCAGTTCCTCATCCGTTTGCTTGGGCTGTTGATGTGTTCAGAGAGGATTGGGACCTGTTTATACTTTTATTTCTTATGCTATTCATCATCTTCCCTAAGTGATTTCATTTGTCCTTGCCATTCTGTAATAGTTCTTTCTGATTGCTCCTTCTTGACCAACACAGATCTGGTTTTCTCAACTGCCTCATCTTGATCTGTTTCTTTTTGTTCTGAATAGTATTTTTTTCTATCCTCCATTTTGATGGCTCTTATGGCATATTCTTCCTTTTCATTTCCTTCCATCTCTCATCTTTATTCCTGGTCCAATCTGGATGGCCTTCTATGTCCCGTACATGCTCTAGGTTGCTTCATTGCCTTCAAGGCTTCTTTCCATTGGTTCCTTTTCATACTGTTTCATTCCCTGGTACCACTCCTCTGTTTGTGACTTTATTCTTTCTCCCTTACCCTTCAATTTGGTTTTGATTTGATTGGTTATTTGTTCCTTGTCTCATTTTTCGTGTATTCAATTCCTGGTGTATTCACTGCAATCAATTACCTTCCATTTTACCTGCATCTCACCCCCACTGAACATTGGAGGTACCTCTTCCATTGTGCACTGGGACTACACCTCATACGTTTATCTCCCATTATCTGCTTTGGGTAGCTGTTTCATCCTTGTTGGGGTACTGTCTTCCAATTATCACCATCCTTATCTCCTCGGTGAGACTGTGACTGGGTAAGTTACCTTTTTGTATATATACCTCTTATTTATCAGGGGCATGTCCCTTTTTTTCTTTACAGATCCCACTGTGTGGTGACTAGTGCCTGTCCAGGTATACTTAAAATAGTCAACTTCGCAGTGTAAAGCCATGATAACTTAACAATAAAAATTTCGTTCAGATGGGGTGTTCCACAAGATCTCTTGTAGGTTTTCCTTGAGATGTATTTGCTTCATTCACATGCCCATTCTGGACCATACTAACCCATGGACTTCATGGGTAAAGCAGTGTAAAGCCATGATAACTTAACAATAAAAATTTCGTTCAGATGGGGTGTTCCACAAGATCTCTTGTAGGTTTTCCTTGAGATGTATTTGCTTCATTCACATGCCCATTCTGGACCATACTAACCCATGGACTTCATGGGTAAAGCAGAAGAGGATAAATGCCCATCCCTGCTATTCCTTAGATTGAATAAATCAGGAGTGGTCTGCTTTTCAAAATAGGGTTTTCATGGTCTCCTGTTGTTCTGTCTCCAGTGTTGACAATCATTTGGACTCTCCTCTCTTTTTTCTTCTAGTGGAATACAAGAGTCCTTATCACTTTCCAGTTCCAAACTGTTGAATGTAATAGTAATATATGATACAAACAATAATGAATCCATTCAATTGATAGTAAGATGGTGGTGTTCTACTGGTGTATATGACAATATTACCTCTTATCTGATGCTCCATCTCTGAACGGGTATGTTGTAGCTTTGTAGTGAGCTGTCAAAATTGCTGTTCACCCCTTTGATTGGGATCCTTCATCCTACCTCCACAT